CTTGACAAGCATTGTTCCAAGGCAAGGTACAAGGCTATCTAAAGTGGTTAGGCACTTTAAAAATGCTTATCTGATTGTGTAGAGGATGCTTGTGCAGAAAGAACAAATGCAAATCTCAAGACAAGTTGACTTTGTGATTAAATCCACTTTACTATAATGGCAATGTTACTTTGTGCCATTAATGGAAATGCAACTTGGATAATGGTTCAAATGCTTGGACAATGGCTCTATCAGTTGTGTAATCAATTAAATATTGAGTGATAAACAAGTTTGAGGCCTGCAAAGCAAAGATTATGCAGCCTAGCATGGATTTGGTTCATGCGTTCATCAAGAAATGACTTGTAATTCAAGTTTGAAAACCCTAACTTCTTGCCTTCGATTCTCCTAGCTCAAGTATGATCTCAATGAGTTCTTGGACATTTTGGAATGCTTGTAACATCCTATACAACCTCTATGTTGGACATTTTTGAAGATTCATCTTGGAACTATGTGAAATATTGCCATGAAGTTAGGTCGAAATCCTGCCTAAACTAGGGCAAAATTTCACTAAGTTTATAAGTTTCATGAACATGTCTTCACAAAATCATAACTTGAAATCCATGCATTTCTAGGAGAAGTTGTGCTCTACAATGTTTTAGATCTCATTGAGATCTATAACTTTCATGTTGGAAGTTTCTTTTGAATCATCTTGCATCATGGTGAAAATTTGGCTCAAAGTTATGAAAAAATATGAATTTTCCAACACTTAAAAATTTCTAAGTTTAGAAATTTTGACTTTTCAAAATAAAATCTTGACTTTTTTATTTCTTGATGGAAAATTTTCATATTTTTACATGTCTTGATGAATTGTGATCTTTGATATTTGATTCTGACTGAAAAGTCAAAGTTTGACTTTTCAGTGTATATTTGATTTTTCATCAGTTGACTGAAATTCATATATCAATCAATTGATCTTGAGAAATATTTTGAGCCATATCATTAGGTAAAAATGAAACATTTGAATCCTTGAGATCATGTCTCAAACCAACAAGTCACTTGCTAGGTCAAAGATCAGAAATTGTTCCTTCTCAGTCAAAACCCTAATTTTGACCATTTTTCCCTTTTGAAGATCTGATCAAATTTCTTGAGGAATTATGGTCCAAACTTTATCAAATGACAAATATGAGTTCACGATGTTGATATGGATCAAAAATTATGAAGTTTGACTGTAAATTGACCACAATTGACTTTTTCCCCAATACAGCTGATTTTAGGTCAACTGATCAATTGATTGAGCAAAATGTGATCCAAGACTTGAAACTTGACATGGGCAAACTTGAGAGTCCAAAATGATCCATGAAAGTAATTTGATGCATTAAAAGTCAATTTGTCCTTGTGCAATCTCAAACCCTAATTTTCAGTCATCAGTGCTTGAGGAGATATCTTGAGCTGATCAACCCTTGTGCAGTCTTGAACCAAATGAGATCTCGTGAGAGATTACTTGAGAAATGAGAGGGGAAATTTTGGGGTACAACAGCGTGAAAATGCTCCATATATTTGGTGAAGCCAACAATGTCCTTTCCAAAAGGAATAACATTTTTGTCTACTTCGGTGGGAAGAAACGCTTCACCTGTGGGGCAGAGACCAGTGATGGCCGCAATGTCAAACAAGGTGAGAGTAAGCATCCCAACTGCAAAATGAAAGGTGTTTGTAGAGCCTTCTCAGAAGTAGAGTGCAGAAATCAACATGTGATTGCAATAATTAGGTCCAACCCTAGAAAGCTGAAGTAAAAAAAAGCCTTGAGCCTTCCAAACGTCACCCTTCACTTTCTCTACTTTATTCAACCATGCAATGTAATCTTGGTTGACAGCAGAGGCAGAACAGAAGACTTTAGACGTACAGTGGATGTGTGAAAAATCTATAGGGCAATCTCTTGAGGAGATATCTTGAGTTGATCAACCCTTGTGAAATCTTGAACCAAATGAGGTCTTGTGAGAGATTACTTGAGAAATGAGAGGGAAAATGTTGGGGTACAACAGCGTGAAAATGCTCCATATATTTGGTGAATCCAACAATGTCCTTTCCAAAAGGAATAACATTTTTGTCTACTTCAGTGGGAAGAAACGCTTCACCTGTAGGGCAGAGACCAGTGATGGCCGCAATGTCAAACAGGGTGAGAGTAAGCTTCCCAGTTGCAAAATGAAAGGTGTTTGTAGAGCCTTCTCAAAAGTAGAGTACATAAATCAACATGCGATTGCAATAACTAGGGCCAACCCTAGAAAGTTGAATCAAGTCAAAAAAAGCCTTGAGCCTTCCAAACGTCACCCTTCACTTTCTCTACTTTATTCAACCATGCAATGTAATCTTGGTTGACAGCAGAGGCAGAACAGAAGACTTTAGACGTACGATAGATGTGTGAAAAATATATAGGGCAATCTTTGTTGATAGGGGTTTGGTGGTTTTATGAGTAGGGAATCAGCCTTCCAAGTGTTTAGGTACTCTAACCTCATCAGGAATATGCCCCAATAAAGTGTAAGTAATATTGTTGCAGATGAAGGGAATTAACAACTGGGAGCGAAAATTTTAGAGATTGCGTGTTGGCGTTGGTTCTAAGACAAAAATGTTTTGTTCATGAATGAAGAACTCACTCATGTTGGAAATCAATTCAATTTTCCGGGGAGTTTGAATGTGTTCAGAGATTTGGCTTGAAGCAGCCATGGAGATGATGGAGAGTTTTTTTGGGTAAAAATGAAAATGAAAGTTTATGTGGTTTACGAAGAAAAGAGCTTGAGTATGCAAAGAAACGTAAAGAGGAAATTGGAAATATAAAAGGGGTATTTATATCATCAAAGAGACCAAACATTGGGGAGAAAGTGAAAAAATAACCATGGCTACACGATCGACACATGTCAAATAGATGGAAACTGAGTTGAAGAAGTTGGTGAATTAGAGGCCACGATTATCTTAGGATGTTGAAACTAGAAAATAGGGAAGTGGTTGTGTGATATCTGATGTAACGTTTGAAGGAAATGTCATGATTACAATGACGTCACTTCACACTAAGAGAAAAGGATTAAAATGTTCATTTATGTTCTTTCAATCGAAAAAGACATTTTTGGGGGCAATTCGTTGGCTAGGATTTTCACAAAGGGTTAAAATCTAACCAAAAGCAAAAAAAGTTCTTTGAAGACTTTGAATTCTAGGAAATCGACCACAGAAGCAGTCGACCGGAAGAGGTTTCATAAAAGGCCAATTTGGACTTGTGGACGCAGTTAACCAGAATAGAGGTCTCATGAGAAACGGATTGGGCCCAAGAGTGTTAAAAAGCCCAAATAACTAGGAAAAAAAACGTTGTGAATGGAGAACGTGAGTTTGATAGCATGAATGGAGAACGTGGGTTCGATAGCAGGGATGGAGAACGTGGATTCATGGAGGGAAGTTACAAGAGACACATGACTCATAAAGAAGCGAAGGCCGCTAAAAAGTAGTTATTTTCATGTATTATAAATAAAGCACTTGGTGCATAGTGTAAGAGGTTCAAACTTTCACATTCCTACACGTTAGTCACTCACGGTACCCAAGCGAACGAGCGAAATGAGTCAAACAAGGGTGATGTATGTTTGAATCAACCTATTTTCAACTATTTTGATGTTATGTCATCTATTTTTACAGTTTAAAATGTCTTTGTTTTATTTTACAATTCTTGCTTTATTGCTTTTAAATTCGTTTCGCCTTAGTCGAACAAACCCTTTTGAACATACTTTGTGAAAACACTCGAAACCTGAAGCACTGTATTGAGATTCCTTGGTCAATCTCTCCAGTAAACTTTCTGTCAAGCGTTGTATGTTTGATTCAACCCATTTTCAACTATTTTGATGTTATGTCATCTACTTTTACAGTTTAAAACATCTTTGTTTTATTTTACAATTCCTGCTTTATTGCTTTTAAATTCGTTTCGCCTTAGTCGAACAAACCCTTTTGAACATACTTTGTGAAAACACTCGAAAACTGAAGGATTGTACTGAGATTCCCTGGTCGATCTCGTCCGTAAACTTTATGTTAAGAGACCAATGTTGTTTACCAAAACCAGAGGTAAACAAGAACAAACCAATTTCAAAAGGTACTTCTAGAGTGTACTTATGATTTGAGAGTGGTGATCTTATGTCAGACGGGTGCACATATGCAAATATGGTCGATAATATTGATTCTCGAAAATCTACTCCATGACCATGGCCTTGTAACCCCCGAGCATTGCTCAGTCATAATACATGCAAGCTCTTGGTTAATGAGACGAGGGTTGAAGTTACCAGCAAGGGGGAGATGGAAGGGGCATGAAACATCATTTATGGTATTCGTCATCTCACCAAATAGAAGATGAAAGGAGGATGTCTCCTTATGTCATCGCTCAACAAATGCGAAAAGTAATAGAGAATCGAGCATGGTCAATTAACAGTTCACTAACAGAAGCAGACTAACATTAGTAACAATATGTCTAACCTCATCAGAGATCTGGACATCTGAAAATTTCTTCAACTTTGCTCCATGGGTGAGCGAGCATCTTTAACGACAACCGTTCTATAATAATTAAAGGGACTTGTAAGAATTCGGCAGAAAACTCGAAAAATGTGTTAAATTGCACAGCTTTTGTGAAAGGTTCAAAAATTGATAAATAATATGTGATTTTTATTATTTTTTTTATAGCCAAAGCGTATTATACTAAAAACAATTGGTGTACCGCGTAAAAGTTTGAGGGTGCCAACCAATTTTTTTAAATGTAAATCATAGTCTAAAATGCTCTTATGTCTAAAATTTACAGCTTATGTTCTCACTAATGTGTAAACAATCACCTTTTATTCATCGAGTATAAACTGTCTACATGTCAATCTTTACACAACCAATGACGGAAAGTGAGAATTGTAATGTTTTGTCTGATAGATAAGAAAAGAGAGTGAAGTAAAAGATTCGTCCTCTTTTACTAATGCACGTCGTCTTGAAAATTTATTTATTATAGGTTCATCCTCCTATGGCAACTTGCAAGCATCTGTGTTGTCTTTTGCTTTTGCCTTAAATTTTCCAAGCATTTCATCAACAGTTCTGCATCTACACTGGTTTCCTGGCCGGATTACATCACCATAAACAGCCATCTCAATTATATCGAGCTCCCTGTCTGTTTATTGATCAAAATTATTAGGTTTCTCTCTAATTGTGAGAAATTGAGCATTAAACATTTTCCTTAAAGAACAATATGACTAAAAGTACTTGTGTGGAAGATATAGAACTCAAACAAATCAATAATGGATCACCTCAGCACCTAAACAAGATCTCATGCCTTATATAGAAATTATTGTATAAGGACACCAAACAAACTTACTGTTGGAATTTCCACCTTCATTGCGATCCACCCCTAGTCGCCTAAATTGTGGCATTAAGTTTGCCCTTATTGCAGCCTCCAACACCTTCATTGTGTTGGGTTGGAAGGGGTGAATTTATTCTCACATTGCTTAGAGATATGGCATGTGTTTTGTTAATAAGTGGGGCAACCCTCACCTTACAACCCGGTTTTGTGGGGATGAGTAAGGCCCAATCCAAATTCTGAGACTTACAGTCCTAACTAATTCTAGAGGTTCTGACAATCAAGGTCACCAATTTAGTGGCAAGACAGTGTTCTAAAAGGATTCACCAAAAATGAAGCATTGGCTTTCAACATAGCATTCCAGGCCAAAACATAACATCCATCCATGACCAGACTCATATGCAGCAGCACATAAAGCCAAGAAAAACAAATTACAGGAATAACCCCCCAGCCAACACACATGCAAAGAAAATGGGGGCAAAAGAAGGTGCTACAAAATACCTACTAGGAGGCAAATGAAAGCCATCTCTAAAGCTGCAAGAATTTAGTAACTCCATACAATATGACCAAGGAAGACAAACAAAAAAAAGTTTTTGCAGATGCTCTTCAATGATGTAATCTATAAAGCAAAAATCTGAAATTGAATTGAACTATAACTATCATCTACAACATTTTGGATTTAGGATTCTCCAACTAAGTAGCTTCAAGTTCTAATATTATTAAGAAAAGATCAACTGGGTTTCAAAATAAAAACTTGTTATTTTTAGTTATGAAATTAGATACTACTAAAATTTGGTTCTCCTCTAATAGCATACAATAAAGAACTCCTCAAGGGTAAAATGCATACAATAAGTTAAAGGCCAGGTTCAATGTAAAAAAAGACAGATAAAGGGCCATGCATGCTTACCAGTAAAATTAATATCACAAGAGTAGCCTTTCAACTTATCCGAATCGATCTGATATTTGTCCGATTTTAATCTATTAACTCTTGATTGAAGTATTTGGCAATTTTCAGCGGTCGATTCACCACCTACAGTACAATTTCACATGTCAAATAGATCAATTATCAAAAAGACAACTTTGATAATATTGTTATACGGTACTGTTTATACCTCACTAGTTCTAACTACAAAGCTCTATCTACACTCCATACTCCCATTGTTCTCTTCAGTTATACTTGCAAATTCTAACTTGTATGTTCTAGTTAATACAAAATTTGAGGAGCAAAAGCTGAACAGAAAAGATCAAAACCATATACTCAATCTAATGAAGACGGTTCCAAAGCTAATCAAGTGATGCAATTAGGAAAATAAGGATGACCCAGAAGAAAATAAAGGATAAATATGAAATGGAATGTAAAAGGGTGGGAGAAAAATGGAACCTTTGGAAAAAGGGATGATATGATCGTACTCGTAGCAGAGGCAACCAAGGCAGTTGAAGAAGCGCTTGCAGACAACGTTACCGGCGGCGTCTTTACGCCACCTTTCTGGGTGGCGGCCGGGTACAGTATCTGCCTTTGTCCAGCAGATGGTCTTTGTCTTTGTGTCGAAGTGTCTTGGTCTTTTGTCGCCGTTGCCGTCGCTTTCGCCGCCGGAACGGGGCGGCGAGGTAGTCATGGGAACAGTTAGGGGAGAAAAAGTGAGTAGCCAAAAAGCGAGGTAGTCTTGTAAAAAAATAAATTAAAAATAATTTAACAAAAAATAATAATTTACTTTTTTAAATATTGAATTATCAAACGATAAATACAATTAGATATAACTAAATAAAAATGAGACTTTATCTTGCACATAGTCATTTGTAAGATTGCTATCAAAACTATATCTTTTTTATTAAAGAGAGGGTTAAAAGTCCGGGAAAAATAAATTATAAACACAAACAATTTTAGAAGAACTAATTCTATTTCCATCTGTTCGACGAAAATGATCAAACTTAATAGGACACTTCGAAAATAACCTATATTCTTCTTTCAATGAGAAATTGTAGCTAGCCAATGCATCCGCGAGCTGATTTGCCTCCTTATGCACATGAGTGATCTCTAACTCCCGGTCCAGGTCCCACATGCTAATGATCTTAGCACCAAATTATTCTCATTACGTATTCTGCTTCTCTTTGACATCTTGCATCAATAGTAGTGAATCAACACGCATTTTCACCTTTTTAAAATTCATACTTTTAACCAGTTGCAAACCTTCATAAAGCCCTAGAGCTCTGCTAAATATGGATTTCCTCGTCCAATGATTTTAGAGAAACCACTAATCCATTCGCCGTTATCCCCTCGAATCACACCTCCACAATCAATGATACCATTCTTACAAGCTCCATCTATATTAATGTAAATCCATCTACTTCTTAGAGGAACATAATAAACTTGCATGATCATAGTTCTCCCCATACATCCCTCTTTCATGATACCTTTTGATACAGCATAATACGCTATCATGTTCCTCAAACGCTCCACTTGATTGTAGGGGCGCACATAACCTTCTTCAAACTTTTCTCTATTCCTCCACTGCCACAACATATGACACGCATTTGCCCAAAACTAGTCCCAATTATCCAGCCAGCCATAATGCCTCCCGCTACTGATATTTAGGGTGATCCAATCTGACAAACTACACGTGAATAATCTATTACTCATGGTACTAGGAATGATACTAACCCAAGGTTGAGAAGCCAACTTGCAATCCTGTAACACATGAAGCACCGTTTCCGGAAAAGCCTTACAATAATCACAGTTAGACATACCAAGATCCATTTGATGCTTACGAACATTAGTAAGCAATCTATCATGCTTAACTAACCAAACAAACACCCGAACTCGCTCTGGTACTTTTAACTGCCATATCTGCTTCCAAATTATGTTTGTGTCCTGTTCCCGGTTGTTGCAAAGAGCATGATACCTATGACTAATTGAGAACCGACCCACCTCATTATCCATGCATACCTGCTCATCATTGCAATAATTGTCATGAGGAGGTGGAATAGCTCCAATTTTACCGAGAATCTCTGCGGCAATCCAATCCTTAATAATACTCCAATTCCATCGCCCATCTTTAGCTATATCAGCCACTGTAGCATTCATGCAGTTAGTAGGGATAACCAAATTACACTCAGCCAAGCGAAGCCCTTTCTTAATTCACACATCATGGCACAAATTAATACTCCTTCCATTTCTAACAATCCAGCCTCCATGCTCCTTATCATTGGCCACAATTGAATGATATTTCTCCATAAATGAGAATCTGTAGCCCGCGCATTCACAATCTTGTTCCCATTATTACGCTTGTACTTACCTCTCAACACTTGACACCACAAATCCTGACCATTGGATTGTTTGCCATGAACCAGTTTCATGATGCAAGCTTTATTCATTTCATGTAGTCTCCGAAGACCCAATCCACCATTTATTTTCGGTTGTGTGACTGTATCCCAACCAACCGCGTGATATTTTTGATGCTGGTCCATCTCTCCCCATATAAACTTCCTCTGAATCTTGTGAATCTCCTCCACACAAGCTTTAGGAAGAACTGAATGTTAGTGCGTGAGGCACTTTTTAGTGAGGAGAGAAAGAGAGAATAATAAAGGAAATAAGGATTTGTATTATTGAATTGTACAGATAATGATACACACTATGACTATTTATATACAATCTTAATTGGGTTTGGGCTAACACAACTTTGATTATATTTAAATATTAAGTCTAATCAAATCTAATCAAATCTAATCAAATATCTAATTTAATATTTCAACACACCCCCATAATCCTGTAATTGCAAGCTTCTCAAGTCATATTTAAAGCATGTGTTTTGATGAAGACAACATGGACATCAACTTTCAAAGGATGTGCAAAAAACTTATCAACATCAAATAAAAGTCTTGAAGAATTATTGAAGAAATCATCAAATGTCAAAATGGTATAAATAATTCTTTAAATCTTGAATATAGATGTTCACGATATGCATTCATCAACATATACATATTCCATAACTTTAACATCAAGAAAAACTTTGTTTGAAATATCTTTCAAAAAATATTTTTGAAAATAAACCTTTAGGAACCGGTTCCTCCCTAACAGGGAACCGGGTTCCAGCATTTCTCAAAAAACATGTCCCTGGATTTTGTACCAGGAACCGGGTTGTACCAATAAGGGAACCGGTTCCTGCGTGAAAATTTTGAATTCCAACTTCTAACGTTCACTAAGAACTGGGTTCTGTCAGTGTCGGAACCGGTTCCTAGCGAACCAATGCAGCTTTTACTTTGTTTTTTGAATATTTTTCAAATGGTATCTTTTCATGAATGCATTGCAACTTTTCATATGAATTGGCATGAATGAAGAGGTTCTTGTAACTTTATAAAATGCAGATTTTCTTATTTTCAAACAATGTTCAATACTTCAATTTTCAAATTAACAAATATACTTCTTCATTAACAATTTTCTCATTTACTCACATTTGAATTTAAACTTTCATGTGTTCATAATTTTGTGAAACTTGCCATATACACTTTCATTATCATTTCAAGTTTCATTCATAAATTGTGAACATTTATATACATTGTTGAGAATTTTTTTTATCTTGAAGAAGAAGATTAATTGAAGATTGATAAAGCTCTCCATATACTTCAAACTAAATCATTGTATTACTTAAAGATTTTCCCTTACTATCCAGGATTGTTGGAAGTAAGTGTTGTGATTTGAAGAGGATTGTTCTTCATTCACATTAGTGTTTGTTTGGTTTTAAAGGTGTTAAGAACCTTTGATCACCCTATAGGTTAGATAGTAAGCATAGGTTGTACAATCATTCTAACTATAGTGAAATCTCTTTCGTGTTGGAAAGGGGACTGGAGTACTCTCGGATTGTGAGGGGAACCAGGATATATCACCGTGTTCTTTACTTTTTCGCATTTATCACTTTCATCACCATAATCAGGAAAAGATAAAGATATAATCAAAACCTTCAAACACTTAACCAAAAATTTCTACCAAGCATTCTCATAAAATCGAAGAAATTTTATAAGACCTAATTCACCCCCCCCCCCCCCCCCCCCTCTTAGGCACTCTGAGACTTACAATTGGCATCAGAGCAAGTTATAGGTAACTTGTTCCTAAAGATCCAGAATGGCTTCCGCAAATCATCAACCAGTTTTCAGAGATGGTGGTAGTAATAACAAGCCTCCTCTATTCTGTGGTGAATATTTTGACTTCTGGAAAATACGCATGAAGGCGCATTTAGAAGCACAAGGAGAGGAAGTATGGGATGCTGTTGAAAATGGTCCATTTATCCCAATATCAGTAATCAATGGCATTGGTTCTGTAAAACCCAAAACTGCATGGGACGACGATGATAAAAAGAAAGTTCTCTATGACAAAAAGGCAATAAACCTTCTTCAAGGTGCACTCAGTATGGACGAATTTTTTCGTGTCTCGAACTGCAAGACATCAAAAGAAATATGGGATACCCTGGTTCAAACTCATGAAGGAACGACTGAAGTAAAAAGTTCAAGGCTAAATACCTTGAGTCAAGAATATGAATTATTTCGAATGCAGCCCGGAGAATCCATTCTTGACTTACAAAAGAGATTTGTGCATTTGACAAATCACTTAAATGCTCTTGGTAAAACCTTGACAAATGATGAACTCAACTTGAAAATCCTTAGATCATTGACTAGGGAATGACAACCAAAGGTAACGGCAATCTCGGAAAAGAAGAGTCTCTCCGCAATGACTTCCGCTACATTATTTAGAAAACTTCAAGAATATGAAACGGAACTCGGTAGACTTGAAAAACATGAAAATTTAGAGAAGAAATCCAAAGGCATTGCCTTGAAAGTTGATTCAAAGGAAAGTCAAGATAAAGATGCATCGGAGGAAGATGAAAACTTCTTGCTTCTTGTAAAAAGGTTAGGAAAATATTTTGGTCATAAAAATAATCTTCATAATGCTAACTTTGTCAAGAGGAAGAAATTTTATAATCATAAAGATAAAGAAGCCTCCACATCAACACAAGATGTCACATGTTATGAATGTAAAAAGCAAGGTCACATAAAGCCGGATTGTCCAAAACTCTCCAAGAAAAATGGATTCAAAGGCAAAAAGGAGTTCAAGAACAAAAAGGCTTATGTTGCATGGGAAGATAATGAGATAAGTTCTTCATCCGATTCGGAAAGCGAGGAATGTGCAAATCTAGCATTAATGGCTTCACATCACTCCGACAATGAAGAAGAGGTTAGTAATGAATTTAATCTTTTTGATGATGATGTTCAAGATGCTATTGATGAACTCTTGAAAGAATGCAAAAGTTTATACAAAAAGGTGTCAAATCAAGAAAAAGAACTTCTAAGTTGTTTAGAAAAAATTGACACTATGACTAAAGATTTTGAACTTCAAAAATAGAATTTTATTAAAGAAAAAGAAAACTTTGCATGCTCCAAGTGTGAATCAAATGTCTTTCAAATTGTTCAATTGAAAAGAGTCATTGAACGATATGAAAAAGGACAAATAGGATTGGAAGGATTACTAAGCCAACAACGTTATCCTAATGATAAAAGGGGTCTTGGTTATGTGAATTCTAAGCAACCAAGTAACAATCCCACTGTTTTTGTAAAGGCTAGTAATAGT